CTATCTTTTACACTTCTGTCTATATAGAATGGAGATGTTTGTAATCTCCTTAATACTTTTTAAATAATATATATGACTGTATTCAGGGCCTACACTGAAAATTCAGGATAATATTTCCATCTCAAAATACTTAATCACATCTGCAAAGTCCATTTCCCCTCATGTAAGTTAACATTGCTAGGTTCCAGGATTTAGGATATGACTATCTTTTGGGAGGCCATAATTCAGTCTATCACACTGTAGTTTTTAAGTCTTTGATTTAACTTTTATTAGTCTGTGCTTTCCCCTGACACAAGATTAGGTGCAAAAATTGTGTCTAGGGAAAAAGTACAATTCTAGTCTGCATTATTTTGAGACCTACTTTAGGAAGGCCTTTGTGAAGGCAGGACTTTTGTTCCACTTCAAAATTATGAGAGAATCAGGTTGATAGTGAAGAGCATATGCTTAAGAAAAATTGTCTTGCTCCACATTTGGTTATTGAAATATTTTTAGAACACACGTTACTCTAAATTTGCCAGAAAAATAATTTTAGGTGCCATGACACTAATTTCTAGCTTTTAATGATGTCAAGTCATTTCAATTCTCAGAAACTTGGAGAAAAGGTAGGCACAAAATGAATAGAATTATTTATTTTCAGTGTGGTCTAGAGAATTTTAAGATGGATTTTTTTTCTATTACATTTTAAAAATTTCTCCTTAACAGATGTCACATTGAGCCATTCACTTCTGTTTTATACCCTCCTATAGAGTTCTTTCAAAAATGAACTGCAGTTTGTAGCCCAAGGAAAACGGAAGAAAGATGTTGTACTGCTCTTCTTTAGGTTTTGTGTGATGATTTTATTGATAGAGGGGGATTTGGTTTTGAGGCCAAAGTATTTGCTGAGGAAACAGCTCCTGTTACCACTAGCCTTTCTCTCTGGATATAAAATTCTTCTTGGCCTGGCAGAAACTAGGTTAATGCATAGGTCAAGGCTGTTGAATTAAGAAACAACACCCTCATTGTAAAGTTAATGATTGTACAGAGACAAATATTGTCCAATTTTGTTATTGTTCTGTTTTTTGATATTCAGATTCATTAATTATTTTAAATGGTCTTGTAACATTAAAACTAGTGGTCAAGTTTATTTTAAGCATTTACTGCTGAGATTTAAACCACCTCCAAGTTACATAACAGCTACTCCAATGCAGAACTAAGCAAAGATCCAATTTCTTGGGCTGTTTGTCCTGGGCTCAGTTACCTCTTACACAGAGATGATAACTTTCTTCTGAATCCAGTTCTCCATTTCATTTCAGCTCCCACATCAGAACCTAATACTTATTCATGTTCTCTGCATGGCTTTCTTAGGACATTTCTGCTTACCCAAAACTTTCTTGTTGCTCTTAAATAGGAGGCTGTGTTCCAGAGATAATATTTTTGAGTTTACTCCACCAACATTTGCAAAAGCTTGTTTTCAGTGCTGTCCTATCCTAGGAAAAAGTGGGTGATGGTCTAGGAAAGAAGTACAGATTTCTTTTACCCTCAAGACATTTAAATCTAAGTTTCTCAGTGCCACTTTATATTGATGCTTTAAACGTTTATTTTAAGAATACTTTCCCAGATTCTTATAAACCAGGAATAAAACTTAAAGTACCCATTTAAAATATATTTAGTATTTTTATTTCATCTTTTCAAGGATCATATATTTTCACCTCATTCCTGATCTTAACTCTGAGAATCACTGACATGGGAAGACTTTTTGTTGGATATTTTTAGCTGTCTATAACTCTGCTGTTAAGAATGTACAAAGTAATGGCTGCAGATGTAGCACAGTGGTAGTGTACTTGCTTAGCAAGTGTGAAGTCCATGGTTCAATTCCCAGTATCCCCAAAACTAAATAAACAAAAAGGAATTCAAGTAATGAATTGGTGGAGAACTACTGTATTTAGTTCTTGGTTAGCTTCTTAGTATTTGCAACTACTGTTAACAATGGATAAGATATAGGTATATTTAGTACTTCTTAATATCTGCAAACTACTTAAAATACACCAAATTTAAAGAATAAAATAGAAAAGAAAGTGAAAATTTAAAGTTCAGAATAATGTGTCTTGGCAGGAAATTAGACCAAGAACCAGAATGTCCATGGTTTAGGGAAGGGAACTGACTTTGGTGATATTTTTATTGACCACCTATATACGAGGTATTTTACACATATTATCCCTTTCAATTTTAGTTTGGCTATTTGCTAGCTAAATTGACTTGGGCATATTGCTCACAGTTTTGTACCTCAGTTTCCTTAGTTTTCAAAATCATCCCCCCCAAAAAAAAACCCCTTACATATCTTGTTAAGATATGTAACCTGACACAAGGTAAACACTTTGTGAATGTTTACTACTAACATCCCTCATTGATGAGGATACTGAGGCTCTGGGAGGATAGAGAACCATATTGTTGTTGGTGAATGAATAATAGGATGCATGTGAAGCTCATACAGTGTTCTTGATAACAAGCCATTTCTCTTTGTAGTATTGGTTCTATGTTTAGCTAACCTTGTAATCTTAGGTAAGCCTTGGTTTCACCATTTATAAAATAGAAGCGTGGAGGTTAATAACATTTATGGCCCCTTTCTCTTCTAACATTATATATTTTTAATTATGATCTTCAGTGACCAATGAATTTATTTGACTTTGGGGAAATTTTGCATATCTTTAGAAATGATCTGGGATTAAAATATTTGACAGCAGGTCTGTGGTAAATAGCTATTAAAAGAGCATGGTAGAATCATCAATGAAACTGACAGAAAGCTTGTCTGATCCCTTTAGTTCTATTTACTTTTGGTTACTTGCCTTTAGTTGAATTTTTAAAAAATCACTAGTTTTGAAGGTCATGCGGCTAAACAGTATATTACTAGTTTCCTATTAGCTTTATACCCTCTGATTTATGGGTCATGATGATAATGGTTGCCTAGGTTACTTTTCAGGGACATGAAGCTACTTTTGTTGAAATCTCCGACTTCACTTATGCCTGCACAGGTGTCTAAGGGGTGGTGACTTTTGACCTCAGAAGACTGAAAAGCCCACTCTAATGTCCCTTTTTCTGAAATGCATCCCATGAAGATCCATGAAGTTTTCTAGTTTTTGTCTGTCTGTTTTGGCTTACAGAATTTTTAAAAAATATATTTTTAGTTATAGATGGACAATGCCTTTATTTTGCTTATTTAATTTTATGTGGTACTGAGGATCAAACCCAGGTCCTCACACATGGCAGGCAAGTGCTGTACCACTGAGCTACAACCCCAGCTCCTGGCTTACAGAATTTATATAATATTTTAGAAAGATGAAGCAGAGTTCTCAACATACAGTTTGTACAAAAGTGCAGATTCTAATCAGGCATCAAGATGAGAATATAGAATGACTGGTTTTTTGGGAAATGAAATACTCTGAAAACAGCCATTCTAAATATATAAATAAATTCATCATATCTTTGTTGAACATCTATTAATTATCATGCTCTGTGCAAAGAACTGAAGAGTTCCATAAAACGTGGCAGTTTCTGTCTTCAATGCACTAAGATTCTGAGAGAAAAAAAAACAACCAAACAAAAAATTATATAATGTAATGAGAGCAACATGAAAAGAAATCTATTACAAAAGATAAGTAGACCTAAAAGGAATAACTTTACACGAGGAAATATACATTTTTGAACTAATCTACCCTAAATACATAGAAGACTCAAGAATTTTATGTAAGCACAAACCATTGATTACTTCATCTCCAATCACCTTTTCACATGCTTCAGGCCACCTGCCTCTTCATTGTCCTGTGTGTGTGTGTGTGTGTGTGTGTGTGTGTTTTCTTAGAATAGAAATTAGGAATTGCTGAGGAGGGCCTTGAACTTGTGATCCTCCTACTTTAGCCTCCCTGGTTTCTAGGATTATAGACATTTGCCACTATGCCCAGCCAGTCCTGCTTCTTTATCTGATGCACCTCCCCAAACACTTGGGGAGGTGTATTTAAATGTTGGGTCTCCCAACTCCATGAAGAAACTTTTTTGCAAAGCTTCTTATTTCAGAGATTGACATACTGCAATGTGGACACAACAGGCTTGGTTCAGTAACATCAGTGGGTTCTCTGTGTTTGGCAAGTTTCACCGGTAGCAGCTAGGTTTCAGATGTCTTAGTAGCAGGTGGCCAACACTTCAGGCTTGGGAGAGGAAGAACTTCTTGCTCATCTTGTTATGCTGTAGTATAAGCAATGATTTAAATTCATTTGAAAGTACTAGAAGGATGAAATAAGTGAATGAAAGGCACTCAGTCTTTGGTAAGACAGGAAGGGATGAAAAGGAGAAAACTTCAGGTTTTGTAGTTATGTGAAGGTGAAAACCCATGACTGTCCTGAAGTTTTCTTGGGTACATAAGAAAAGAGTTAGGTGGCACCAAAGTTATCTGATACTGGCAATCTGAAAAACAGTAAACATAGTTTCTTTCCAAGTGCTTAGTCATGCTTATGATGGCAAAGAGAAATATTTGAGACTCTTAACTTCCCTGAAGTCTTGGTCTTCAAGATTGTTCCTGCTGAAATAATAAATTTATGCTTCTGAATGTGGTTATGATCAATGTTTCCATTCCCTGCCCCCTGTTTTCTCTTTGTAATCCCTAAACCTGTTTTCATTTGGCTTGCTTTAATTCCTTGAGTAAAAAGAAGCAGTAGTGTTTAGGGAGAAGTATTTTTGTTTTAAATATGGTTTATGGAATAATAATTCTGAAGAACAATTCCTAAATTCATAATTATACCCCTTTTCCCTTTGAAATTATTTTAATAATGAAAAGAAATTGTTTAGACACATGGGAAATTGTGTTGCTTTTAGGTATTCCAATCAGCAATCAAACTCTTTGACTGAAATTCTTGTCACAATAAGGGTGAGAGATAGGGGCAGAGACAAGAAGGCTGAAAGCTGCTTCAGGTATTCATAAACGGTATCTTTAAAAGTCTTTTAAAGCATTAAGTATTAGACTACAAGGAAAATGTGTTTTTATGTTTTATTCCAATTAGAAAACACTGACGGAGTAAATAGAGAATACTATTTTTATAAGTTTCTGTGGGATCTTAAAGCAGAATTATAAATCTACACAATTTAAAATTATCTAGTATTTCATTTTTAAAACATTAACATTTCTATATGCTCTAAACAAATTATGCTCAGGATAATTACTAGCCAGCAATGTTTTTATCCAGTAAATAAAAGAATCTCCTATATAACAATTTCTTATTTAATTTATTTTATTCAAGGCAATAATTGAGATGAGATGTGTATATGGAGAGCCGGGAAATGCACAGCAGAGATGTGTAATTTTGGAAAAGAATTTCAGTCTCAGTTGCAGGCTGATCAGATTAACAACCTCGACTCTTCTCCTTTACCAGTTCTCTATACAAATATTTTTTCTTCTGTAGTCTTCTGGATTCCCACTGGATGTTTACCTTCCTTCTGCTTTCTGTTGTTTCTTCAGGCCCTTACTTTGGCAAGTAAAATCATGTCCTATGCTTTTTACTCTACCTTCTCCCATATCCAAGTCAGATGGAGGTCTGACAGATGGCCATGGGTTATTGATAAAAAGATCCCTGTGGGCTTTGTAGCTAGCAAGGTGATGAGGACTTGGGGGAAAGCAGACACAGGAGGGCCTGGAACCAATAATTCACGTAAGCATTCATTTCAATCAGTAAACACTTAAAACATCTACTATAGTAACTATGATAGGCACCATAGTAAAAAGTGGTATAAGAGATGGTCTCCATTTTCCAAACACTGAACTTTTCTGGGAGAATTAGTGGGAAGGAAATCCAGGACTGGCACCAGATTATTTCTTTGTTGAGTAATTTACTGAACTAGATAAAAGAGATTTGAAAAAACAAATGTGAAAACAATTGGTATATTACAAGGGTTCTCGACTTTGGCTGCTCATTATAATCTCCTATTGTAGCTTTTAAACCATGGTTTTCAAACTTTAGTGTGCAAGAGTATCTGGTTAAATCTGATTACTAAGCCTATCCCAGAGTTTATGAATCAGGTAGTCTAGAGTGAAAAAGAATTTGCATTGCTATCAAGTTCTTAGGTGATGCTGATGCTGAGTGGTCTCAAAGCTATATTTCTGATAGCCACTGTTTTTAATTATAAGGATTTTCAGGTCTTGCCTTCAGACTCATTCAATGGGTGTAAGGATGGAAATCTGGTATTGTTCATTTTTGGTTCCTCAATTTTAATGTAGGTCTAAGGCTGAGAACCAGTGTTCCACTGTAGAGAGAATGGTTGACTCGCTGAAGTTGCTGAGTTTGGGACTCAATGAATCTACACATTCCTATGGGTCAATTTGTAGGAATTCTGCTGTTTAATCATCTTAAATAAGTGACATTATTTGATTTAAAAAGCAAGACAACAAAAACAACTCTGAGATTGTCGTTCAAACTAATTTGGCTGCCTTAATTTGTAGAGTCTTTCAGACTATACCTGGGTACTTTCCAATGCCACCTTAAAAACATTTTAGGGGTCTTCTGTGGACAAATCTTCAAAGAAGCAAGGTCCATTAGAACCCCATCTTGTCTAGCCCTCAAAGTTCCAATAAGTGAGCTGGAGTGGGCATGCTCAGCGGGCAGGGTCGGGTTTGCGGGGTGCAAGTGGGAAGCCTGTTACTCAACTGCAGTGGCTTGCCTCCTCCCCCCACCTGTACGAGGCTGGGCCCAAGGAGCCTGTGCTCAGCATCCCACCCCCTGGTGTCTGGGCTTGGTCTTCTCTGCGGGTCCCAACGCTGACATTCAGGCAGGGGGTCAGGAGGCCTGGCGCGCCCCCAATGCGCGCGGCTGGGAGCAGCCGGGGTGAGGGACTTGGGCTCTTACGGCGGGGTCCCAGGGGTCCGCTTGCCTCCTAGACGCGTCTCTAGGCCCAGGGAAGCCTGCCTACCGGGCGGTGCCGAGTAGGGGAAGCCAGATCTGGGGGCGGGCGACGAGAAATCAGGTAAGCCAGCTCTGCCGGCCTGCGGGCGGACGAGTGTCTCCCCTCTCTCGGGCAGATGGCGTGGGTGGCCCGCGTGGGGAGGGGACAGGAAATCCGACACCTCCACCGGCTTCCCCGGCCTAGCTCAGCCCTGGCTTTCCCGTCTGCCAGCCAGCTGGCAAGGCGGGGCGGGTGAGGTTGGAGTTCGGCACGGCCAAGGCGCAAAACAGGAACCGCAGCTTGGGGCGAGGGATATTACGTCCGCTGCGGCGCGGTCCTAGCCCACGGGACCGGTGTCCCCGTGTCCCCGTGTCGTCAAATTCATTGGGCAGAAGAGACCTCGCTCGCTCGACCCCCCGCTAGTTCGCCACGTACCCCCCCAACCCCGACCCGGGTTCACAGCTCCACTTCCGTGTTTCCCCGCTGGGCCGGAGGAGCCTGGGCCCTAGGTACCCGCCTGGATGCGGCGGCCCGGCCGCCTGGGTCAGCCCGACGGGAGGGAGGCGGCGCTGGAGGGGGAGGAGGAAGTCGCCCGGGAGGCGGGGGCCGGCCGTGCAGGGCGCGTCGGGTTACACTCGCCCAGCCTGACCCGAGTGACATCCCCGCGCGCCTCGCTGCGAGCACAGGGCCGAGCCTGAGATCCTGGGGGGGAGGCTGACTCCGCCCTGGCTGGAGGAACTAGGTGCTCCTGCCCGCTGCCCCTTCGCGCGTGAAGATTAATCTCAGGTGTGTGTTTCCTGGGCGATCCCCCTCCTGGTGCCTGGGGTTCTAGGGGGGAGTGGTCCCTTTCTGATCCTGGCGATTCTGGTGGGGCTCTGGTGTTGCGGTAGGTGGTGGTGGCGGGAAACTGGAGAAAGATTTAGAATTTCTCCCCATCCACGGAAGACTCGTTCTCATTTGGGGTTTAACTGTTTACGTTTTGGAGGGCAACTAGGGTTTAATGCATTTGTAACACTTAGAAAAGTGGCAGGGCTTTAGGGCGGGGTTTGGTATCTGTGAAAGTGTATGCAAAACTTTTAGCTTGTGAATGTGACTAATCTGATAAGAAGGATTGTTGCTTCTTTCTGAGGCAAGGGTGGGAACCATTCTGGAAGGGGACAGAGCTTCTTTGAGAAACTCAGCTTACCGGGGTGTGACCGTCTTTAGAGGAAACGGAAGGTATACGCTGATGAACTTAAAAACAGCCTCCACTCCCCACGTAGTAACTTTGATCAGCAAAAATAGATTTGCAAAGTGCTTTGGCAAGAAGGTGCATCTGGGTGAATGAAGTGCTGCTTCTCCAGATGGTCTCTAGACCGTCTTCCACCTTGTTCAGAGGAACTTTCACTCTGGGAAAGCCTTCCTCAAGAATTCCAAAGTAATTTACAAACACATATTCGCACCAAGTCTCAGTGACAGGGACAACCCAAATTACACAACACATTATAAATACCATAGGAGGCAATTATAGAAATAGCTAACAGCTAATTTAGTCTACTTGTATAAATAGGTGAGGGAAGGAAGTTAGTAAGTTACACTGAGTTTTTATTGCTTAAAATTGTTAATATTTTGCATACATTCCAAATTTAAGAGATGTGATTTTTTTTTCTTTCTTTCTTTTTTTTTTTTTTTTTTTTTTTGAGTGTGGAGGGTAATGGTAAGCCTCACATTGGAACCAAGCACTTTGTCCTAACTACTGACTATTCCAAGTCTCTAAGTCCCACAGTTCTTGGTGACCATCATATGAGAACTGGATGTTATTGCCCAAGGGATACCACGTGCAGCCTGCAGAACCTTGCTGATGTGGGTCTTGAAACCTCCTGGTGTTTCTCACAGGAACATTATGTCAAGTTATAATACTTCCTGGATTTTAGCAATTCAGCTCTTTCAAAATAATGTAGCAATACCTTAGTGAATAATACATAAGGATGAAAGTTTAGTTTTGAGAATCCACATTGTTAGATCTATGCTCTTTGATAGCTCTATCACTTTATGTTTTTAAGAAATTTTTAAAAAGACAAAATGAAATATATTTTTTCAATGGATGCATTATAGAGATATTAAGCACTATTGAAGCTCTGCTTTAACCTCCTTTTGATTTATTAAAATATAAAGTTGTTTGGCTGGTCCATAATTAAAAAGAGGGTCACAAATATACCAACTGTTAATAGGTTTAATTCCCTCCCCATTTAGTTTTTGGAATTGTTTAATATCATTTATAGCTCTTAAAAGCTGTATCATTTTCATTGGCAAACTATAATAACTCTGAAATTATCCATTTAGTTATTTGTTTTCAGTTTTAGCTCCAGAATTGAAGTTCTATGAGAGTAGGGCTTGGTTTATCTTGCACTCTTGCAGATCTCTGTTTATTGTGATGACTACCTTGTAATAAGCACTTAATAAATATTTCTCCAATGACTAAACTGGAACAAACTAGCTGAGTCTAAAAACCAAAGATTTTGGCCGTAAGTGGCCTAATTAAATTCACTAAGCCTCAATTGTGTCACTGGAAAAATAGGTATAATAATATATAACGTGTAAAATTGTCAGTGATGTATCAGGCAGGCAGTAAACTTCAAAATACTAGAAGGCAGTTAACTGCTTTCCTCCTTACGTTTTCTTTTTATTTTCATAAAGGAAAATTTGATCCTCAGCTCTGAAAAAAAAAGCCCCCCCCCAAAAAAAATACAGTTAACCCAACAAGTCACTTCTTGTGTGTCGTCCATAAATTATCCTCTCTTAACTTTAATATGTGTATGTGTCTTGGGGTAGCGGGAGGTTTGCCTAGTTACAGCTTTGGGTATTAGAGAAGGGAAGCAATTTTGAGATCATTATTTTTCTCTTTACTGTGGGAATATGTTGATGCTTTTCAGGTCGGTTTTCCAAAACTTGATTCTACTTGTCAATATTTGGACTCATGGGATTGCCCTAAGTACAGAAACTGCTTCAGAAAGTACTACATATCATGTTGTTACACTCATCTTCTTAAATATTCTATAGTCTTGTGAAACATTATGTAGGAATAAATGCTGGATAAAAAAGTACAGTTATACTCTTTTTGAGAAGGTTAGAGTTTAATAATACAGCACACATATAGTCATGTGCTGCACATCTTTGTTTTGATAAAAAATGGACCACATACATGATGGACCAAAAGATTTTATTACCTAGTGTGTAAGTACCCTCTATGGTGTTCCCATAATGATGAGATCAACAAATGAGGGATTTCTTGGAATGGATACCTTATTCTATGTCATTGAGGCTATCAAATAATATATATATTTCTGATTTTAAGTAGGTCAAGCTTGGTTCTATTAGTTCATCAACGTTTATGGGAAGAACCATTTAATAAGAGATATTTCCTCTTCAACTAAAAATTTACTGTCACATATTGTGATATTATTAGAAATATAACTTCATCCTGTTCCTGATACAAGAATTTCCAAGATCCTTGGAATTTCGGGAGTGATCCAGTGTCTTTTTTGCATATTAATAGGATTACTGGTGATTCTCTTGAGCTCCTGGTTTGCTTCTGGGTGGGGCCTGGTTCCTCTAGCCACCAGTGCTGTGATTAGGGAGTTGAAATTCCAGCTCTACCCTTGACTTCGGGGTAGACTGAGCCAATCGCTAATGGCCAGTTGTTTAATTACATCTACATATTTAAAATCCAAGGTTATGTGGTGTGGAAAGCTTGCAGGTTTGTGAATACCTGGAAGTGCTGTCCAGAGTAGGCACGAATCCCCATACCATTGCTTCTGTGCTTACACGGCGTAACATCTGGCTGCTTCTTTCTATCTTTATACTATCCTTTATAATAAGCTGTAAAGGTAAGTATTTTCCTGAGTTTTGTGAGCTGTTATAGCAGTTTTGTGAACCTGAGAAAGTTGTGGGAACCCTCAATTTATGGTCAAGTTGGACAAAACCAAGGATAACCTGGGGACTTAAGTCAGTTGTGATGGCTGTCTGAAATTGGGGGTAGGGGGAGGCAGTTTTGTGGATGTGAGTCCTTAACCGGGTGTTCTGTCTTCACTTGAGCAGTTGATTTCAAAATTGAATTAAATCACAGGGTACTAAGTTGGTGTCCTCAGAGAACTGGAGAATTCTTTGGTTTGGAAAATCCATACATTTTGTGTCGAACGTGTTGTAAATGTAGGTGTAGGTTTTTAGAATATATATATATATATGTATATATATATATGTATTAATACAGTTTGGGAGCATCTTTTAAATTATTCAGGAAAAATGAAATCATGTGCTGTAAAAAGTAAAAACTTTTCAATAGTGAAATACCGTTGCAATGTAGATAACTTTTTGAACAATGACCATTTAATTTAGATTTTTCAAGCATTATGTTCTTCAAATAGCAATATGGCTTTTGTAGAATTTCATATTTGATTATGCATATATATTTTTTATAAAAAATTTTAATATAGAGGGAAAGCAAACTCTAGAAACCATAACACAGAAATCATTTTATGAAAATGAGGTTTTTAGAAGCTGCTAATATCAGATGGAATCAAGGAGAATGGCTTGGTGATGGCAGAGTGACTTGCTAAGAGAGTTTAATTATCTATCTTCTGGTGGCTACTAAGACCAGGAGAAAACTTTAGATGTTTTTGTACATATTATAAGAAACATATTTATGGTCGAGGTGACCAGTTTGGAAAAAAAATTGGTCATGATTTTATGCCATTATATAACTTCAATATAACACAACAAGCTTATAAATGTATTTCAAAATTGATTAAAACAATACACTTCAGAGTCCTAGCTTCACCAAAGTTGTTTCCCTTTTATTTAACCTGAAGAAAGAAAGGATGTTTTGTTTCATTGTGTTAATGTCAAAGCTGCTTTGATCATATCCCTCTGTGCTGCACCCTTCTGGGGGCCTTTCCACCCTGTGAAATCTAGTTCCAAGTATTTGTTTGGAATTCAAGGACTTCTCTATGCCCCAGGGTTCTACCCTTATCTTCTCTAGCATCCAGCCAAATAAGATTAATTGAACTTCCCTAAATCTACTTTATTTTTATAGCTACCCTATGCTACCCTCTTCCTTTTATTTTGTCTTTTGAAGGCCTTATCCCTAGCTTCTAATTTCTTGAGAGTTTTCCTCCCAGCTGGGGTCAGAATTGTTTTGTATACTCCCTAAACTCTTCAAGTATTTTGGTGCCACTCTGAAGTCTGTATACTCCTTTGTACTGTAATTACTTGAAAACATGAAACATTTCCTTTCTGTGGAAGATCCTGCAGAGCAAAGGCTGCCTAACCCAAGCTCCTTGAGCATGAGATATATCTAGTAAATAGGTGATTCTATGCTAATTTTAAAATTCCTTAATTTTTTAAGAAATTAGTGATAGGTGTGGATTGGTTGTGATTGTCCTGCAGATAACACGGAACAGATGTATTTGAAGATATTCAGTTAAACTGGGCCTCTAAGGTCTATTTCTTTTTTGGTCTTCATTTTCTCCCTATGTGTTTAGCAGTTTCAATGTTTAAAGGGTATTAGGAAGAGGAAAGGAAATCACTGCAGGTCAACCAGTGTTATAAAAACAATTCCAGAAGAAAGGTAGAGAAACCTACTTGGTGTCCATTTCTGTCTGGGTTTTTAGGGCTCACTGCTCTTGCCAATTTCTCCCCTTTTCTCCACCTTCCAACTAATCTAATCTGTTCAGAAAGGATTTGTATGGTTAATTTATAATAAGGTGATTGATGAATTACGTTATCGACCTACTCATACAAAGATCTCTGAATTCTAAGGAAACAAAACTTTGGGGACCATTTGCGAATGCCAGGTTGAAGGAGACTTTGGGGAGCAGCATTTACTTCTAAGCCTTCCCGAAGTCACATTATAGGCACTTCAGTATGACTCTAGTGTCTTTGTACCTTCTAGTTTCCTATTCTATAAAATGAGATGGCTGGGGCTGGGGATGTGGCTCAAGTGGTAGCGCGCTGGCCTGGCATGCGTGCGGCCGGGATTGGATCCTCAGCACCACATACCAACAAAGATGTTGTGTCCGCCGAGAACTAAAAAATAAATATTAAAAATTCTCTCTCTCTCTCTCTCCTCTCTCACTCTCTCTTAAAAAAAATGAGATGGCTGGACAAAATGAATTTAAAGTCCATAAAAAACAAGGATTGTTCTATTCTGGTCCTTCTTAAGGGGAAGTTCGTCTTGGCCAATGGCCTCTATTCCCGTCTGGACTTTGGTCTGACTTTCCTCTTCCTTCCTGGAAGTTGAAGTTCCTTTCTCAGCTTTTCTAGATGTGGCATACACTCCCAAAGAATGCTGTGTTCCTTACATCTGCCTCTTTATGTTCACAGGAACAATCATAGCAAGTATATATTTTTTTTAAAAAAATTAGGTTTACTAGTATTAACCCATTTCGCATCCTAGCTCATCATTAACTAGCTGGGATACTTACCTGAAAAAAAAAAAACAGATTCATAAAACTTTAAAATAGAAGGAACTTTGGAGATTTAACCCAATAGTCTCTTTTTATTAATAATGATAAAAAATTATAAGTACCTATGGACCAATTGCCATTTTCTGGGCACTGTACTGAGCAGTTTGCATTATTTCATTATTATACATTATTTTATTTGTCAACGATGAGTTCTGTCATATCAAGGAGCAAATGGTGGTCCAGAGAAATTAAGTGCCTCACTCAAAGACACATAGCTATTTGGTGTTAGGACAGAAACTTCATGAAACCTGTGTAAAGAAATAAAAAAATGAAATGATAATTCTATTCCCATGACTATTATGTATTTCCTGATTTTTGCTACTTTGGATTCTATTGCTCAACTCATTGAACAATTTAACATTTAAACACTTCCTAATACAAGACCATGGATGATGCTGAAGTTTTTAAAACAGTTGAATGTACAACACGGCATGCTTGCTTAAAATAATACTCCTTTTGATTTGAGTTCTGGAAGCCCTTGACATTAGTAAAAGCTTCTCAATCTTTTTTTTTTAAATTTTTTTTTTATTGGTTGTTCACAACATTATAAAGCTCTTGACATATCATATTTCATACATTAGATTGAAGTGGGTTATGAACTCCCAATTTTACCCCAAATGCAGATTGCAGAATCATGTCGGTTATACATCCACAATTTTACATAATGCCCAATTAGTAATTGTTGTATTCTGCTACCTTTCCTATCCCCTACTATCAATCTTCTCAATCTTAATGGACATGGAAACAACCTGCAACTTGGTATCAATCTTCTTTTTCCACTCCTGGGTTTGTGAAGGCTTCTGGGAAAATAAAAAAAAAATCATGCAGATTATGGGTACATACAAATTCATGTTGTTCATCTTTATCCATGAGGCAGTTTTTTTTTTTTAACTTGTGTTTACACAGGAGTTTTTTTCCATTTCTTGCCACACTTTTTCCAAACTTGGAACATTTTCTTTGAGTCTTCTTCTCTACCTGTGCATGTATCAGAAGATGACTGTTAGTGGTTAAGGCATACTAAACTTTTTTAAACAGAAAGAACTGAAAATAGATACAAGCTTAAATGAAAATTTATTTCTTGTTTATGCCATAGTGTGGGTTGGTATATGGCTTTTCTTGTCTTAAGATTGGGGTAGCCTGGATCCTTCTATGTTTTCAATTGCATCCAGCTAGTTGAAGGTGAGAAGCACGTCCACTTTCTAAATGCACAATCTTGAAATTAATGTGTGCTTCTCATGGCTCTTTGCAGGTTCTTTCCCTGGGTACTGAAGTTCCCAGACTCTGTCCTTAGTTCTCTATTTTTCTCTCAGTTGATGATTCTGCACCAAGTCTCTCTATATTCCTGATTTCCCAAATCTGCATCCCCAACCAGACTTAGAGATTCCTGAGCTCAGAGTCAGTGGACATTTTCACTTGGCTGTCCCACAGTCTTGACAGGACATTATGATTTTTCCCTCCTTACTCTCCGTGCTGTTTCTCTTCTCCTTGAAGAGCAAAATAGCCTTTTCTCTCACCTTCTACATCATCCATTAATTTGTTGTTTATCAATTACCTAATATATACTGGTCATTTCCCCACAAATTAAGACTAGTGGTTTACAAAAGAGCAACTGTTCTTGTTAAAGAGTTTTGATTCTACTGGAAGGAAAAGAAGTAATTGGTGATTAAATAAAAGAGACATGGGAGACATATGAGTTCGAGGAAAATAAACTTTAAACTTGATGGTAGATTGAGATCTATTAAGTTTCCTGTGGTTGCTGTTGAAAATTGCCACAAACTTTGTTGTTTAAATGAACAGAAATTTATTTTCTCATGTTTCAGGAGACCAGAAATCTGAAGCCACTTTCACTGTTCCCAATCTTAAGCGCTACTGAGCTCACTTCTGAGGCTCTAGGGCAGAATCCCTCACCTCTTCTAGCTTTGGTGACTTCTGACCCTCACTGGCTTGTAGCTGCATTACTTCATTTTTCACCGCTATGGTCAAAATTTCTCTCTTGTTTTTCAAATCACCATCTACCTCCCTCTTAAAAGATATCAAGTTATTGCATACAAGGCCCACTTAGTAATGAAATATAATCTCTCCATCTCAATATCCTGATATAATCATGTTTGCAAAGTCTTTTTGTTTTTGTTTAAATAAGATAAGACTAACAGGTTCTGGGGATAACGATGTGGATATATTTTGGGTGCCATTATTGAATTTGATACAGTGTCCAAGAAAACTTTATTTTTTTTATTTTTTATTTTTTTTAAAGAGAGAGTGAGAGAGGAGAGAGAGAGATAGAGAGAGAATTTTTAATATTTATTTTTTAGTTCTTGGTGGACACAACATCTTTGTTGGTATGTGGTGCTGAGGATCGAACCCAGGCTGCACGCATGCCAGGCGAGCACGCTACCTCTTGAGCCACATCCCCAGCCCCTCCAAGAAAACTTTAAAAAGTAAGCAAGGACAAGGTTTTGTAAGGCTTTGTAATCCAAGGTAGGATGTTTGGATTTTGTTTTTGGGTGACAGAAGCCTTTGGAGGATCATATGAAGGTGAATGAAATGATGTGGTTTTGCTATAAAATTGTGTCTCTTAAACTTTTTATTATTACCCTCTGAGAGGAAAATTATAATTAAAATTAATTAAAAGCTTGAAGTGATTTTTCCTTAATATTATAGTATTCCTTAAATACTAAGATATGAAGGTTTTTGTTGTTGTGGTGTAGAGTTGAACTATACAAGACCATAAGTAATTATACTATATGGTAATTTTTATCTGCCAAGAACCACTGTTAGTGGCATTGCTTCTATTGAGAATACATGCTATTACAGATTTCTCTGGCTGCTAAAAACATGCAGGATTATGGGAGGTGGGGGTAAAAGATTAGAGGCAGAACTTCAGTTGAGGGCTATTACTGAGAGTAATCATTGTGTGAGCAGGCATTATATTAAAAATGGAAAGAAGTGGATAGATTTAGGATTTAGGATTATTTTTGAGATAGAGTTATGTGATTGTTCTCACTGTTGTGGTACTTGCTTGTAATCTCAGCAGTTCAGGAGGTGAGGCAGGAGAATTAGAAGTTCAAAGCCAGCCTTAACAACTTAGTGAGGTAGGCCCTAAGCAACTTAGTAAGATCCTGTCTCAAAATAAAAAATAAAAAATAAAAAAGGACTGGGGAATATGGCTCAGTGGTTGAGCACCCCTGGTTTCAATCCTTGGTTACCCCTCAATAAATGAATAATAATTTGGAGGGAGGAAAGAAGAATCAAAATAAAGGTTTTTATTTGCTACTTGAGCAACTGAGTCGATTACTGGGAAATGGAGAATTGGGAGAGAAGCAGACTTAATGAAAGAAATGTGTTGTTTTGGCAATAATAAGTTTCAGGTACTTATTAGACAATTTTCTGAAGATGTCATACAACTGGATGAATTCAGTTTGGAGTTTGGGAGAGGGATTTTAGCTGAGGTTACACAGTTAGAAGTTATTTTCATGTAGCTTGAATTTGATACTGGAGGGAGTTCCTATAGAGAATGTATTGAGAAGGGGACCTTTGGAACAAATATATAGGAGAAGGAGCAGTGACCAGGGATTAGGAAAGAAAGCAGGAGAGTGTGATGTCTCTGAAGCCAATAGTTCAGAATGTTTTTAAAGGGAGATGGTTCTACTGTGTCAGTGATGCAGGTAGCATTTGGTGAAATGAGGTCATTTGTGATTTGGGCAATCTGACATATAGTTCTTAGTGGACAGATTGGGACAGAAGCTTATTGGATTAAGTTGTGGAAGTGGAGACAATACTTAAAACTCTTTCAAGAAGTTTCATTGTGAAGGAAAGCAGAGAAATTGAATAATTCTTGGTGGGGATATTGGTCAAGGGAGTGTTTGTTAAGAACCGAGGGTTTTAGAATGAATTTCTAGCCTGACAGAATGATTAAGTAGACAAGAGAAATAGGAGAGAGTGATGGATACTTGTAGGAGTAAAATTCATAAAGAGCCAGAAAGAGAGGAGATCCAGGGCACAAATGGAGGGGTAAGTCTTTATTATGAACAGGAACATTTTTATGTATTTATGTATGTATGTTTTTAGTTGTAGATGGAAATAAATAAAATTTATTTATTTTTATGTGATGCTGAGGATCAAACCCAGTGCTTCACATGTGCTAGGCAACCACTCTACCAATGAGCTACAATTCTAGCCCAGGAACGTTTATTTTTAATAATAGAAAGAACTGCAGAGAGAATGGGTACAGGAGTTATAGGATGTAGTTTGACTGGTGGGAAGTTGGAGGCTTTACTTGATTTCTTCTGTTTTCCCTGTAAATTAGGGTGATGTTGAAATGTGGGAGGGTGAAACAGGTTTGGGAAGAAGGATGTGAAATGTAACAGGATTGCTAGTCAATAGGGATTTCCCATTAAAGAATTGCAACCAGGAGTTTAACTTGAGAGCATTTGTGGTTGTCTATTTTTCTCATGTATTATTTTCAGGTGTTTGGTTGAGGATGTGGAAAAGGCAGATAGTTGGTTTAACCAGTTTGGGGATCTTCGAGGTAAGAGAGAATCAGGAAGTGAGCAGGAAAAGCATTAAAGTTATAAAGAGAGAGATTACAATTTTGGATCTTTACCTAACCTGTCAGAGAGGGAGTGACTGAGAGCAAAACAAATAGTAATGAATAGATTGAAGAACCAGATAATCCAAGATGTTGGAATGGAAATACCAGAGTAGAGTAGTTGAGTTGAAAAAAGAAGGTGACATTCACAGCATGGAGTTCTTGAAGCTGAAATCTCAAGCTGGTGCAAACAATCATGATGCCCAAATCAGAGGTTATAATAATGACAGTAGGTGACTGAGATAGATTCAGGAATAGTTCATCAGAGCTGAAGAGGTTGAGGAATTGGAGTCTCCCTGTAAATACAGAAAATAGAATGAAGACAGAGATGAAACTGGGAAGGGGAATAGCCAGGTGTTAATATCATAGTGAATGAGGGACCTAGCAGATAGGTAGATGACAGCAAGAAAGGGTAATGGGTAGAAAAGTCTAATGGCATGAATGTCAAAATGGGTAAGATTTTTGAAAGATGTTAGAGGAAAAAATTGAAAAGCGAACTGGAGAGAAACTTAATCCACCTGCAGGTTGGGGGATTTTGGAGATAGGAACAGAGTTGTTACTAAAAGTATTTCACAACTCAATGAAAGGGGAAATCACAGGAGCAGAGCCTTGGAGCCTTTTGCAAAGCTAGGCATTAACTTTTTAATCATTTGATCATAGGAAGGTATGAGAAAAAGGCTAGTTATGAACCGGCTCAGATAATTTGATATTTTAGTTGCTGGTACAGCATCTTTATTTACACTGACTTTAGACTTAAAAGTGAGAATAAAAATACCATTTCCTTGAAGGGATGGTGAGCAAACAGTGTTATAAGGGTTCAGCTTTCAAAATTCAGGCTCTTACCTTTCTCATCCTGTCAAAAGGAACATTGAGACAAGGTAATTGAATTTACTAGGCATAGATTTTGAGTTTGAGGGAGTGAAAAGGGAAGAATGGAAGGGTAGGCAGGTGAGAAATGGGTTGGGCTTCCCGTGGACCCATGTAAAGAAGATTGTTGAGGAAGCTGGGTTAGACCAGGTGATGTCTTGAGAGGGTCTGAGTGGGGACCACATGGCAGGCAACTCTGGGTGACATGGCCAAGACGAGCAAAAGCTGTCTGAGTACCTTCTGTGCAATCTAAAGTGTATTTTGTATGTCCTAGTTCCAGGTCCAGAAGATTGGGCCAATTGTAGGATAAAGGGCTCGTTGGGGGACTGTTCTTGTGTGGCTAGTAGCACCTAGGGCCTTTTCTCAGCCAGGAGAGTGGGTAACCCTTTGGGGAGTGGCCTTCTGGTTGGCATTAGCAAAGGACTGCTGCTTTCAGGGCAGGTATTTTAGCAATCCTCCCTCCAAATGGCATTCGAAGTGTTCTCTATTCCACTGTCATTAGGATTGTCTTAGGACCCTT